TCTGACTAGTAACATTCTAATAACTATACTTATTACTATACTTATTAGTGCAAAAAAATAATAAGTAATAATATAGTTTGATCTTATTAGAATGATAAGATAATAAGATGAATAATAAGATACCGAAAATGCCCAACTGTAGAGCACGAAACCATCTTGTCACCAAAATGGTTGAAAAATGATCAAAAAAGTAAAATGTATGGATTGTGGGTACTCCATTCGGACCAAAAAAAATTACACCGGTCAACAGATATTGCTCAAAAACTAATCAGCACGTCTCCTAGTAGTCCCAAATCATCCTGCAAAGTCAGAATTTGAATTGAGTTTTTGGAAGTAGATTTATCGAGTTAACAAATTTTCGCAACACGCAACAGGACACAGGACACATCACACACAGCGACGCACATTAATATGCCCCAAAATCATCTCCAATCGTGTTTTCTACATTAAATATGCATAGAAAACATGTTTTGGGAAGACTTTAATTTTTTGGCCTAATACAATACCTTTCCTACACTAGGTGTGCGGAAAAGTAAAATAGCCTGTTCAAAGTGTCACATTATTACGGTACCACAAAGGCATGTTTTTCATACAAAAATGACAGTTTTTGTGGATTTTTTTATGAAAAGTCTGTGAAAAATTGATTGCATCTTAAAACTAACATCAGATTCGGGTTTCTCGTGCCAAAAAACCCCTAACTACACATTCTTTCAGCATTCAAATTGAAAGAATATCATTTTAAGGCATTTTTCTCATAAGTGCCTCTTCAGAGTCTAAGTTTTACACCGATCAATCAATGTCGTTGAAAATTTGACCAGATCTATTCCTCGTAGTGTCCAATCATCCCGTAAAGTCAGATTTTGAATTTCATTTCTGAGCACGAATCCATCGTGTCACCAAAATGGTTGAAAAATGATCAAAAAATGTATGGATAATGTGGGTACTCCATTCGGACCAAAAAAAATTACACCGGTCATATCTGTATATTGCTCAAAAACTAATCAGTTCGTCTCCTAGTAGTCCCAAATCATCCTGCAAAGTCAGAATTTGAATTGAGTTTTTGGAAGAAGATTTATCGCGGTAACAAAAAAAGGAGTCACAGGACACAGCACACATCACACACAGCGACGCACATTAATATGCCCCAAAATCATCTTCAATCGTGTTTTCTACATGAAATATGCATATAAAACATGTTTTGGGGGTGACTTTAATTTTTTGGCCTAATACAATACCTTTCATACACTAGGTGAAAAGTAAAAATTCACAAAAGGAAAATAAAAACATTTTTATTTCTGTGCTACTTTATGACATGAAGATTTAACTTAATAATATTATAATTTTTTAGCTTAAACAAATCCAGTGGAAAAAACTCTATTTTCGTTCCTCCACTTCAACCATAATGCCGTTGATTGGTTTGCATGTGACTTCAAATCGAAATTTGATATCGTCCATTCCCAAATGCGTTGTGATTCGGTATTTGCGTATCAATTTCGCCAACACGACCTTAATCGAAATGAAAGCAAATCGTTGCCCCAAACAATACCTACAAGACAATTTCAATATGATAAGGTACTAATACATACATAGTATTGGTTATTCATTTATTAAATTTAACGCATTAAATTATAGCTTATATTTTAGTTAGTTAGTTCGGATATCGTATACCTCGTGCCATTGCTAAAAGCCATGAATGCATACGGGCTTCGTTTTGCCATCTCTTCCTTGCTAAAATGGTCTGGATTAAATTCATCAGCATCTGGACCCCAAATATCTTTGCGTCGATGGGCTGTGATTGCTGATATAATAACTTCACTGCCTGCTGGAACCACATAATTCTCAACTTCAGTATCTTCGGTGCAATGTCGAAGTAAAACCGGCGCCACTGGATACAATCGCAATGTTTCTCTTATGACCTGCTCCAAATAGGTCATTTGATTGATTTGATCCATTGTCAAATCGTCATCGGCTGGATGGTCTCCCAACACATCATTCAATTCGTCCATCACACGTTGTTCAACCTTCGAGTGCATTGCTAACATTAGAATTGTAACAGCTGCTGTAAATGCGGACGTATCATGCCCACCGAATATAATCAAGTCTACTTGATCTCGGATTTCCTGATCGGTAACCAATCCTTTGCTGTGCAATTTCATCAGACGATTTATGAAAATTTGCGGTCGTTCTATCTTTTGGTTATTTTCGTCGTCGTCGATTGCATCTACATTATTGTTTTCATAAAATTCTTTCATCTTTTCAGAAATCATCTATTATGAGAATGAAAGGGATTTTTCAGTTTTGTTCGAACTTCGAAAGGGGAGAGCATTACCTTCTTCGGCATCACCGATGACCGTGCCGACCAATTGCATTCGATTTGATAGGATTGCGTTAGTTTGTAGATAAAATCTGGGTGCAGGAATATATTAACCATTCGGCGTGCCACCGCTGACAACCATCTGGGGGAGAATGTGATTTTAAGGCAAAAAGTTTGATATCAAATTGATTTTTTTTTAGATTTTTTTTTGAAGAAATTGATTTACTCACTCGGCAAGAGCTTCCATATAATCAAGGTTTTCTCCGTCTTGAATTTTCATATTGGTACCCAATACCGATTCTGTAACGAAAAAAATCGAAAAAATTCATGATTATTTCCCGATTTTCAAGTGAAATTATTTACAAAACACCTTTGAAATAATTAAAAACACAAATTCAGTTGAAAATCGAGTAAAAATCCAAATCTTACCACAAACGATGTCCAGGGTGCAACAGGATGAAAGGTGCATAATATCAAAGTGGCCTTTGCCAACATGCTGACTCACATTCCGAACCAATGAGTTTGCCTTTTGATTGAAAATCGGTAGAAATGACCATGTGATTGGATTGCTGAACGACGCCGCCAACTGTTTACGCTGTACTTTGTAAATTGCAGCTGGAGATGATCGATTTGTTTTTTTTTTAAGCCCAAAAAAGTAATGAATAAAAGACGAATTAGAAAAAAATCAAGACGAATGACTTTGAAGTAAATGAAGTACAGCCGATTTGAACCATTATGCAAAATAAAGGAAGGACTTACCTGGAGCCGCAAATAGACCAATGCCTCGATTGAAAAAATTATAAAGTAAACTCTTTTCTATGCATCCCTTAGCATTCATAACGGTTTGTATTTCATCTGGATGATCAATCACAACGAAGCTTTGTGGACCAAACCACCTATTTGAAGATGAAAGGATTTTTTTTTATTTTTGTTTTAAAGTTGGAAGAGGAAAATATTACCCGACGAATGGGGTTTTATTATTGCATAGATCTTTCAGTGTATCCAAAATTTCTGTGAATTTTCAAAAGTTTTTCGATTAAAATCTTCTTCAATTCTCCAAAAATTAATTTGATTATTAATTTTACTTTGAAAAGAAGCCATAAGAAAACCAAAGAATTATTGCCTAAAACGATAAAAAATAAAATTCACTTATAGTTGGCGCTGCATTCTATGCGAGCTTGTTTTCCGTTGCAACGGACTAAGTGGAAAGTATACACTTATTACATAGAATGTAGCACCAGCTAAACGTGCATTTTTTTTTATCATTTTAGGCAGTAATCTCATCGCTTCTTTCTTGGAACTTTTATTTCACGTTCTATTTTAAACTCTTTATCAAAGGGTTACCATATTATTTATTATCAATTAAAACTTAAATCGAGTGCCGAATGTGAATTGAATTGTTAAGAAATAAACACCTTCATTATTTTTTCCCATAAAACGAAAACCACATCCAACGAGCGGATAGTCATCAATTTTTAAAATATTTTTCGTCAACTTTGTTGCTCGTCTTTTGTACAGAAACCAACTGACTAAAAACTTGATTGGCCACCAAATCGCAAGCACCACCAAAAAGACCAACAAATAAAATCGAAATAGTAACATGATTATTATTGCACACACACCGCGATAAAACTATTTTTTATTAACTTTTTATTATTTTGAGCGAAATCTTATATTGAACACTAATTACACCAAGCGATGCCACTTTCTTCGATTATTGGACAATCAAAACACAAAATGCACAAATTTTCACCGCTAAGCTCCAAGAACTATGACCACCATTATCAACGGACAAAAGTGAATTAAACAATTTTAATAAAAATTCGATGATTTTATGGCTAGCAATGGAACCAGATTATCAGTCGAAGGGCAAATCGGCTACTGTCATTGCAAAGAACCACTTTGAGAACTTGACGATGTATTTTGTGGTTCACTGGCAATGTCAACGGGACATACTTGTGCTAATCGCATGTGATTCGTCGATGGCGCTATGCTAAAAACATGACTTTCCAGCCCATATTTCCTTGTGTTTGACTAATTGTGTCTGATTTCCAGTTATTTGAGAAAAATTTAATTTTTAAAGGAACCCGATTTGCTGCTAAAAATTGTTTTTATTGCATCGATGCAATCAAACGAGACATTGACCGAGTGATTGGATTTAAAAAAAAAGAAGTTTTGCGTGTAACAAAAGAGAAAGTCGTTTCTTTAAAACGCTTGAATTGAATTGAGGTCAATTTTATGAAACAATCATATTGATCACGATCAGACTGGTTGAACAGTTTCATTGCAAAGCTCTCACTGGTTTGAGTGTAAATATTCTTATATAATTGCAGATGTAGAAAAAAACATTATAAATAATGCTTAATTGATCCATGACCTTGAATTACGTTAACATTAAAATTCTGCCAAAAATTGACTCCCAAATACGTTTTCAATGAGTGATTGGTGAGTGGAAGCAATGGTTGTCCCGAGAAAAAGAATTACATAGAAACGATGGTGTAACGTGAAATTAATTCACTAACTTCTATCATACAAATATTTTTACTCCAAATAATTGTTTAATTAATCGAATTTGTTCAATGTCAAGTTATCAATGTTTATGCTCCAAGTTTAATTCCACAAAAACACGTCGTTCAACTTTCAGATGTAATGCCAACATTAAAAAAATGTTACATAAGCGATCTTCGTCATAGTGACGTCACCAAGTTTCGTCTGTTTCGAGTCCAGAAAATATTTGTTTTTTTTTT